AGTGCTTTCAGATCAATGGGTAGTTATCTTTGAAACTACAGATGACCCAGACCTAGCAAATAGAATTCCCAGATATACACACGTTTGGGATCACAAAGTAGTTACAGACTGGAGAGAGGCTCCAAAGCTATGCTACTTTTGTGACAAAGTGGGTCACATCAAAAAAGAATGCACTGAGTACATAGCTTCAGTAGAACTCAGAGCTATGCAAAAAGCATGTAGATTACAAAGATCTCAAAACAAAACCACTAAGCACCAAACCTTTGAGCCAGAAGACTTTAGTGCAGATAACCTCTATATTAAAGATAATAATAACTTAGAAGTTAACAATGTTAATGAGCAAATTTTAGCAGATATGAATCTGGATAGTTATATCAATATAGATCAGCCTCAGATTAAGACTGAGATAGTCGAAAAAGAACCAATTGAAGATACTCTAAAGGAATTAAACAACTCTTCAATGGAAAATCACACTATAGATTCCAACATGATAGTAGACCCACTAACCACCCTCTATGACAACTCCAAGGTTGCTAAATCCTCTTTCATCAGCAACGATGACAATAAATACCAATTGGTGGTGTCAAAGAAAAAACATAAGGGTAAAGCAAAAGTATTGAATGCAAAAAGAAACAAAGTTATGAGTCTGGATTCTAAAAAGAATCCAGGTCTTAGAACCAAAAGATCTTAATCTAACTCACCAATCTCCAATTTTTTAATATTAATGGTTAAACAAATTACAATCGCAACACTTAATGTTAAAGGTTTGAACAATCCAGACAAAGCACAAAGAACATTAACCTTACTTAAATCATATCAATTAGACATAATCATGTTACAAGAAACAAATTTAGAAAACAACAACACAAGGAATTTTCTCTCACAACAATGGGGATACAGCTCTTACTGGTCCTCCAAGACAGCAATATTAGCAGAAAACAGAAACATTACATTTGAAAACATTATAGAATCACAGAATGGCCATGTTATCATAGCAACTTTTTTATACAAAAACCAACTATTTCTCTTGAACAATGTTTATGCACCACCAAATATAGAAGATAGGCTCAAATTCTTCAATAGTTGGGTTTCTCTAAGGGATGATAGATGCATTAATACTTTGGCTAGAGACTTTAACACAAACCTGAATCCACAAAAAGATTGAATCAGTCACGTACCTTCTACTTATGACCCTACAAGAAATCTTTTCAAAAAACTTACAATGGAGTTTATGGATACTGCATCACTCTTGGAAAATAATTACTCTTTTCTAACCAATTATCAAAACACCTGTACAGGTCAAAGAATGGCTACAAGGCTTGATTACATCTTTATAGATAGCAACCATAGTAGCTACTGTAAAAATGTAACAACACAATTTGGCAATTCTGATCATTTAATAGTAAAATACAAAATACATCTCTTACATAAAAACCCTAAAGCAAAACAATAGAATTCTGCAAAAATAGCTAGAATAATGACCTGCTAAAAAAGGAAGTAATCGAAGAACTCCAAAGCATTACTGACTTCTCAAAATGGGACCTTTGCAAATGCAGAATACAATCTATAATTAGAGCATTCAGGCCTAATCCTGCTCCAGAAAAGAAGATTCAAAGGCTTCAAAAACAACTTTCAAAGCTAAATAAGAAAGCTGCTAACGAGAAGAATCCAATAGTAGCTCTATCACAGATAGAAAAGGTTAACCAACAGCTTCAAGATGAGCTTCAACTGCTCTCAGAAAAATGGCAAACAAGATCAAATACCAAATAGATCGAAGATGGAAAGAAGTCAACCAAGTTCTTTTTCTCCCGATACAAGTTAAGAAACTTAATTTCAGCAAAGGAAAAATTCAAGCTCCTAATAATAACAACCCTGAAGACCTAGCTGCTACTCTACAATTCATAAAGGAAATATATCAGAATATCTATAAAGCTGAGACAGTTGACAAGAACTTAATGAACTATTTTTCCCAAAATCTTCCAAAAGTAACTAAATCACAAAACCAATCACTTATAAAACTTATTTCCGAAGAAGAAGTCAAAAACATTATTAGCTCTCTTTTAAACAACAAGGCTTCAGGTTCAGATGGCCTTAGTTATGAGTTCTACAAAGAAATTATAAATAAAATAGTATCAGTCTTGACCAAGCTCTTCAACTTCTGTTTAGAGTTTGGTACAATTCCAAGATCATGGTCCAAAAGTTTCATTACTCTAATTCTCAAAAAAGCTACTGACTTAAAAGATATTAACAACTGGAGACCAATCTCACTCACAAACTGTGATGTTAAAATCTTTATGAAAATCTTAGCTGAAAAAAGTAACCTTATCTGTGAAACGTTAATCAGACATTCACAACAAGCCTTTATTAAAGGAAGATTAATCACAGATACAGCACTAAACATTATTACAGTTCTGAGAAATCAAAATAATCAAACAATATCAAACTGGCTTCTATTGCTTGATCAGCAAAAAGCTTTTGATAAAATTAATTATAATTTTATTGCACATATATTAGAAGAAATGAACTTTGACAAAAAATTCACAAGGATCGTTAAACTTCTTTTCAATTCACAAACAGCACACTTAACAGATGCAAACCTTATTTCAGAACCTATAAGAATAGAAAGAGGAGTACAACAAGGGAACCCACTTTCTCCCTTGCTATACATTTTAGCTCTCAACCTACTTATACTCAAGATTCAAGAAGAAATTAATGGAATACATTTAGCCAATCAGGCATTTAAAGCTGTAGCCTATACAGATGATTTTACAATTGGAATAAGTTTAACAAATGACTAGGAAAAGCTTCTACTCTTATTTTACAAATATGAAGCAGTTTCAAATGCCAAGATTAACAAGGAAAAGTCAATTCTACTTCCAATCACAAGTATGGCCAAAGCAACAAGTCTTACGAACCAAGAGCAGTACAAAATAGCCAATAACAATACTATACTAAAAATCTTGGGCTACGAAGTTGATATTAAAGGTAACCCAAAAAAAAAGCTATGGAAGGACCTAACTCAAAACATCAAAGAAAGAATTGAAGGTGTTGTGTTAAGAAACCTCTCTTTCAAAAGAAAAATTCTTTTGTCAAAAGCTCTTTTTATCTCCAAGATCTGGTACATAGCATACTTACTTTCACCAAGCAGAAAACAATTAGGCAAAATCAATGATCTAATCTCAAACTGGATTAAAAACAAATCCCAAATGCTGCCAAAATATTCAACTTCTCAACTAGAAATCGACAAGAGAGGTCTCACAGCTCCAGTTCTCAAGGACATTTTTGACTTAAGGCTTACTTCAATATGGATTAAACTCTTATGTTCAGACAGCTTTTGGGCCAGAGTTGAAAGATCTCAAATTGCTTAACAACTGCATGATAAAAGAAACATAACAATAGGCTATGCATTAACAAGACTCCTAATAAGGCTGAAAGGATGGCCAGACTTTTGGAAACCCTACCTCACAGCTTGGAAAAGATTAAAAGGCTCAATACTAAATACAAACAACTAGCCTTGGAATTTGTCAAATCTTACAATTGGAGACTAACCAGGTTCCCAATTTTCAGTTAAGAATGCAACTGATTTCTTAAGGACTCAATCGATTTTATCTACAGCAGTGCAAACTCCAGTTAACACTAGCTATCCTTTTACCTAGATTAACATAGTAGGAATTTTAAACAAGAAAAAAGATATTTTTTGGAGGTTACAGAACAATGCACTTCCTTTGGGATATAGGCTTATGCATATAAACAAAAACATTAACAGAAACTGTCCTAACTGCCCAGATCAAAAACAAACACTAGATCACTTTGCTTTAAAATATAACATTAGCAAAACTATCTGGAAAAAAGGATATAAGGCACTTAGATCCTTAGCAGAAAAGGTTCTTCCTACAACTATCGAAGAGATTTTTACAGTAGCAAATATCCAACTCTCTAAAGAGTGGGAGGCTGCATTATAGTTACATATAAATATTATCTATGAAATATGGTGTTGGTATACCCAATCTATATGGGGAAACAATACTATTTCAGAACTGGCAATAGGAAAAATTGTTGAACACTGAATGAAAAGAAGTTTAATAATTTTAGATAAATTACAAAAAAGCAAGAAAGTACTTAAACTTGTTAAATTCATAGATAGTAAATGTTTTACT